ACGTACGTACGTACGTACGTACGTACGTACGTACGTACGTACCTACCTACCTACCTACCTACCTACCTACCTCCTCCTCCTCTCTCTCTCTCTNTTTTGTCTTTCTCTTTCTCTCTCTCTCTAAGTCTTTGTCTCTGTGCGTCTCCTCTCTTTTCTCTCGAGACGCCAAGGGAGACTGCACACACAGGTGCGCCTCTCTCTCTCTCTCTCTTCGTATTCCCTTTTGCCTCTGCTTCTTTGGACCACTGAATTTTTATCGTTTTATGTAGCCGAGGTTCTAAAGCTCATTTTCAAATAGCGTCGATAAATATGGTTTCAATATTAAAAATGTTTGTCATTGCTTTAAAATATATTTTTTATATTTTCATCTAATTGATGGTTCAAAAATGCCCTATAGGATGCACTATCTCCAAAACTTGAAATCTTTTTTTTTTCTCATGTCCATGCATCTTGATATCGAGATGATCAATTTGAAGATTTTTTAGCATCAAAATAACTACTTTTGGTGAATTTTTTGAGGTGGGCTATAATTTGATTGTTTAAAGCCTCGACCGCTTTTCAAATCTTTTTCAAAAAGAGTAGAAAACATTAAAGGGTGCGGTTTGTATAGCGCCCTGGCTCTAAACAATGTAAAGCGTACCATCAAATTGTGTTCAGAAATGTGATTTCAATATTGGAAATCTTTGTGATAGCTTTAAAATATATTTTCATCTTTATTTATAAAATTTAAAGCTTTAAAAATAGTGTACATAGTGTAGATCTATGAAAATTTCAAAATTTTGAAAATTGTCGGTCCAAAAATAAGTTATAAAATGGACTATTTTCAAAACTTGAAATTCATTTTTCCCTCATCTTTATGTCTTATGAACAATTTGACGATATTTGGGCACCAAAACAACTCCTAGTGAGATTTTTGAGGTGGGCTCTAATTTAATTATTTAGATCCTCAACTCTATATAAACCTCTCTCTCAAGAGTGAAAACCTATTGCAAACAAATTTCTTACTTTTTAGATTCTTTTATAATCTTTTTGCCTTTTTGTTTTTTTTATATATAAACCTCTCTCTCAAGAGTCAAAACCTATTGCAAACAAATTTCATACTTTTTGGATTCTTTTATAATCTTTTTGACTTTTGTTTTTTTTTTAATTACAGAGGCAAGGCAGGTTGACCGGGCCGTTTAGAGAGTGTGCTTGTATATGTGCATGTTAAGTGTGTCTGCTTAATAATAAATAAATAAATAAATAAAAGAGAAAAAAGTATTTGTATGGTCAACTGTACTTCTCTTAATCCAACTGTACTTCTCTTGATCTTTCTTTCGAATTAATTGCTTTTATGGATCTATAATGGCTGCTTTATTGGCTATCTGCAACTGTATTCCTCTTGGCGGCCTTTGTTTTGTTTCTCTGCGATAAAATGCTTTTTTGCTTTTATCTTCTTTCTTTCTATTTTTAACAACAAAACAGGAACAAAATCGCCGCTTAAAAACCTCTTCTTTCTTTTACTTGAACGGTTCAACAATTCAGAGACTATTCACAAAAATTTCCTCCCCTTTCTCATTCTCACTAAAACAGGAAGTGAAAACCACCATGAGCAAACTCGATTTAATTTGAACATAGAGACAAAACCACAATTAGAAAACAAACTTTTACTCCCTTTCAATCTTCAAGAAAAACAGAGCAAAATCATTTTTTCTTTTTTTGAAATATAATAGAGCAAAACCATTATCGTGAACTAACTTCCATTCTTTCTCCTGTCCTTAAATCTTCACAACAAAATAGAGATAAAACCACAATTCAACAAACGTTTGCTCTCTTTCCTTCACCAACTCAACAGGAACAATAAAACGAACTAACTTTCCTCCTTTCTTTAAACAGGAACCACCAAACCCAACGAAAAGCCAGTAAAAACCTCAGTTTTTCGGATAGAGCCAAGGCGGCTTAGGCAACAATGGCTAGAGACAACCTTCAAGTCCTCACCGCCCTCGATGTTGCCAAGACCCAATGGTACCACTTCACTGCCATTGTCATCGCCGGTATGGGCTTTTTCACCGATGCCTATGACCTCTTCTGCATATCTCTAATCACAAAATTACTGGGTCGTATCTATTACTACGACAAGAACGGCTCTCGTCCAGGGTCCCTCCCCCCAAATGTGTCTGCCGCTGTCAATGGAGTGGCCTTCTGCGGGACCTTCTCAGGGCAGCTCTTCTTCGGGTGGCTTGGCGATAAGCTGGGCCGAAAGCGTGTCTATGGTATTACCCTCATGGTCATGGTTGTGTGCTCCATTGCCTCTGGCCTCTCCTTTGGCTCCTCCCCGAAGGGTGTGATAGCAACACTCTGCTTCTTTCGATTTTGGCTTGGCTTTGGAATTGGGGGGGACTACCCGCTGTCAGCTACTATTATGTCAGAATACGCAAACAAGAGGACACGAGGAGCCTTCATCGCTGCAGTGTTTGCGATGCAGGGGTTTGGGATACTCGCTGGTGGGATGGTGGCAATCATAGTGTCTGCGGCGTTCAATGCCAAGTTTGATGTACCTTCATTTGCAGTGGCAGGGAAGGCATCAACAGTGCCTGAGGCAGACTATGTGTGGAGGATTATACTGATGTTTGGGGCTTTGCCAGCAGCACTTACATACTACTGGAGGATGAAGATGCCCGAGACTGCTCGTTACACTGCGCTTATCGCAAAAGATGCCAAACGGGCAGCAGCCGACATGTCAAAGGTATGCATGCCTTCCCTCATAGGGTTCTAATGGTGTTAGTAATAGTGTAGTGTATAGAATATTTTACGGCATTTTAAGAGTATGGTAAAGTATAGTCAGCTGGGATCATGACCGTTTGATTGGATACCATGTGGTGATGGAAAAGAGTGAGACCCAGAATTGGGGTGGTGGTGGTCCTTTAATGTTGGTTCTTGCTCTCCACACTTTCTGTTCATCTTTCCATGACTTAATGGTTTCTGCTTTCAATTTGAATTCAGCTGCCCCGACAGGGTGCAAGGGGATTTGAAATTGGGGTCCAAATTTTTTTAATGGATTTTCATGTTTTTGTGGTTCACTCTTTCATTTCTATAATTATCGATGCCCACAATGAACTAGAAGCATGTTTTGTGAGAGTATAAATTACAATTCATTATTGAGGTATGATCCCCTAGATAAACTAAAGTGTAGTATGTTATTACCATTTTGGTTACTTCAGTTTCAAAACCCATTTGAATCCCTATTCTCATCTTGAGGAATAGTAGCTTCATGTTCTAAATAGATGTTAATCTCTTTTTGTTTTTTTGGGTAAATACTTCTTCTTTTTCTTTTTCTTTTTTGTTTTTTTACAATTTTTTTGGAATCTCTGGCATGATAAAGTTATAGGGTACGGATTAACAAATCTCTGTAGCATTTTCTCCTCTCTTGTACTAGGAATTTTTTTGAAAAGAAAAGTAAATTTTGGGAAACTAGAAATTTTCTCGGTTTCTTAACATAGGGCCTAGTCCATTTGTTAGTGTCCAATTACGAACCAAAATCCCACATTTTGAACAATGCTCAATATCTTATTAGACAATTTGCCTGGCATTGCCTCTTATGTTTTCTAATTCTGATTATGCTGTAGTTTCTTCTATTTCTTGAAGGTTCTGTAGTCCATTATCCTATGGCACATACTTCCCCTGATTATATTTTCTGATGACATTTCACCTTGTGTTTTTCTAATTCTGAAATTCATTGTGTTTTATCTCTCACTTGAAGGATCCACAATACATTAGACCATAGGATATACTTTCCCTTATATAAATGCGGGAGTCAATTCTCCTCTTGTGTTTCTAAGTCAAATCCACTGGGTTTATCAATATCTTGTAGGTCCTCCAAGTTGATATTCAAGCAGAACCTGAAAGGTCGTGGCCCGATGCTAATGCCAACTCGTTTGGCCTCTTCAGCCGAGAATTCGCTCGCCGCCATGGCATCCACCTCTTTGCCACCTGCTCCACGTGGTTCCTCCTCGACATTGCATTCTACAGTTCAAACCTCTTCCAGAAAGACCTATTCACAGCCATTGGATGGATCCCCCGTGCCAAAACAATGAACGCTATCCAAGAGGTCTATGTCATTGCTCGTGCCCAAACCCTGATTGCTCTGTGCTCCACTGTTCCTGGCTACTGGTTCGCTGTCTTCTTCATCGACAAAATGGGACGTTTCACCATCCAATTCATGGGATTCGCGATGATGACCATCTTCATGTTTGCGCTTGCCATACCTTATAATCACTGGACCCATCCTGATAACCGCATTGGGTTTGTTATGATGTACGCTCTCACCTTCTTCTTTTCAAATTTTGGGCCAAATACCACCACATTTGTTGTGCCCGCCGAGATTTTTCCAGCAAGGCTTAGGTCAACTTGTCACGGGATATCTGCTGCTTCGGGTAAGGCTGGGGCCATGGTTGGGGCATTTGGGTTTTTGTATGCAGCCCAAAAGAAGAACAAGGCTCTTGCTGAACTCGGTTATCCGGCTGGTATCGGGATGAGGAATACATTGATTATACTCGGTTGTATCAATCTTTTGGGGACGTTTATCAGTTTGTTAGTGCCTGAATCGAAGGGTAAATCACTAGAGGAGATGTCAGGTGAGAATGAAGTTGATGATGAGAAGCAACAGAGGCTGGAACTCTCTAATCGGACAGTGCCGGTTTGATGGCGATGATGATGCATCTTTTCTCTTGAACCACTTAATTTGTTTCATCTAGCTATCTTTAACTGGATGGTCCCTGTCTGATGATGCATCTAAAACCGATATGAGGAGTTTGATACCAAATTCGGTGATGTTGGTCGTAACTGTTTCTACAACATATCCAACCCCCATAGTCAACACATTTCTGATGTGAAAGCGATTCAGCTCACAACCGGCTGATCTGCTGGGCAGAATTGTAATGGAGATGAATTTTGGCCCCTTGGATTCCTCTATCTTCATACTAAATTTCGAGTCCTTTGGACTGTCCATCAGAGAGTAGAATGAGTGAAACACGCGCAGACTGGCATACTTTCTTATCAACATGAACCTTTTTTGAGGATGGTTTGAATTTAAATTTGTTTTGGCTCTATCTTATGTAAATATCATATAAAAGAGGCTATCACCACTTATGGGTCGTTTGGGTCCTGCTAAAAGCTGAATTTGAAAGAACAATGATGTTTGGTTGCTGCTGGTGGTTGCTGCTGGAAGAACCAGTATATCAAAAATAATGAAAATCAGGTTTCGGCTGTGGGTCGTTAATGCAGTTTAGCCGTTCATTGTATATTCTATTCAGCGTTTTAAAAATCGCCGAGTCGAACCGGACTCGACTCGGAATTCACGAAAAAGGTACCGGATCGGTTCGAAAACCGGGAATCGTCCGTTTTTAGAGAGAACCGGACGATTCCGCACAGTGACTCGCCGATTCACTGTGCGGAATCGGCGAGTCCG